GCGTAGTAATCAAAAGATGCGGGTTGGTGTTCGATTCCATGTGATTTTGATTGTTTGTTTACTGTCATTTTTGTTGTTCTCGTTTTCACCATTTCAATAAAACTTAATTGAATTGCGTGCGCAATACATTTTATAAAAATTATTATTAACACCAGTGCAGGAGAATGGAAAATTTTATTTGTCAACAAGCCGGCATATTTAATCAAAATTAATTTTGATTTTGATTTTGATGGACAGCAAAAGTTCTGAGGATTGTTTCAATTCGAAATTGTTGACACTAAAACTGTTTGCTTGGAATTGTTTGAAAATGCTACTTATAAGTTATTAGATTAGGATTTTTTTTTACTACTATTGGGAATATTTTTTAAGCGATAGGCACGCAGGCCTATGCAGCATATTGGTCTCAAGTAGTTTCTAATATACTTCGGGTGTTAAAATTTTTACATCTCCTGATCTGATTTGATTAAATTAAATTCATAATCTAATGGGAAATATTTAATTGACTTCAACGAAATTATGAAATTTTACAATAGCAACAATTTGCAGCCGTCTCTAGCATACACCAACTCTTACAGCAATATCGCGTTTCATTACAAAATTTCGTTAAAATTTCCTTGAAACTAATCTAACAGTTTCAAACAGACAGAAACTCTTCATCCCTATGAAATCGATTTAAATTTCTTTTTTATACTTCCATACAACTTGCTAAAGTTATCAAGAGATGCGGTATATAATAAATGGTTTCGAAAGTTTCTTTTAATATTAGATTTTATTAAAAAAAAAAATTATTTTTATTATTATCTCATGTTTTTGATAAAGTTTGAGTTATTTAACGACCAATTTTAGAGTATGTTTGTTTAATTTTCTCCTCTTCTTCATCAGCTAAATCAATCGCCATAGACAGGAACAGATGAGGTGGGGGCATAAGAACCTCTCAACCAAACTCTCGGAGCTTCTGGCGAGTAACTATCGATGTTCTGATGAAACAGTATTCCCCTTCGGTTTGATCGGGCTACTTGGCGATTACTTCCTTCAGCCTGCCCATTTGCTAGCAGTTTGGCCTTAAAATAGCAGCTCATGATGAGTTATTGCTTGCCAATCCCACCAAACACACAATAAATTATTCCTGACTTGGAGACCTTTTGTGTCGCCTCACTGCCAATCGAACACAACTGTTTTCGTTTGACGTTGCTGTAAGCGATCTACTTTCGCTTCAAAAATGATACGAGGTGTATGGAACCTTTTTAAAGTGGTTCCACGCTGTATTTTGTGCATTGTTTAGCTCCTGGGCAATAGAAATAATACTCGCTTGCCGGTCAGACTCGACGATTTCCACTATTTTATCAACATTTTCGATCATTTGCCTTTAAAACCGTGGAACATCTTACACATCAAAACTACCGTAACAAAATCGGATTGTGCATGATTTACTGTGACACTATTCACATTTTCAGCTGTCGGACTTGCGTTTACACCTTTATCGAATAAAGGTTGGTTTACTTTTTACTAGAATCTTACTGACAAACTATTAGAATATTTTTTATATTTATTTGAGGAAGATCAAAAAATACATTATTATAAAAATATTTAGTTCCGCTCAACTTTCATAGCCTATCAACTAGCTAGCAATTCGGTACCATTCTATGCACATGCGCTCATGAATATTTTTTAAATCGCTTGCCAATTATTTAAGCAAAGTACAATAAAATAGACAGAAAAAATGTTTTCGAAATAAGGTGTAGAAAAAAATAGAAAAAATCACTTAAGCGTCTTAAGCTAATAAATTGAATGGTAACCAATTTAAGAAACTGAGCAAACAAAATAGAAAATTAAAATTTCAACAACGAAAAATTCCAATTAAACCTATTGAGAGGAACGTGGCATTTATTTCTGTTCGGCAGACACATTTCGTTGCCAAATTGGCAAATATCTTTAGGTCATAGCTTTGCCGCTTTTGTCACTGAACTTAGCATTGATTTTAAAGAGCATGCACGAGTATGTACTACATACGCCTTTCGTTTAGGTATCAATATGTAGTATGCATACTTATAACCTGAGCACAGAGTTGTTTAGCTCACGAAACGATGCCATATCGTTTAGTTTATATGAAAAATAAACTTAACGAAATGATTTTGTTTCGTTTCGTTTCGCCGCCACATTATCGAAACGAAATGTTAATGATCTCATTGAAGCTGCATAAGCTCAGCAATAATAGTTAGTTTTAAAATGGCTGATATGATTTAGCAACAAACTTTATTGTTAACTTTTAAAAGAATCTGTTAATGATCTAACACTTTTTATGTGATAATAAACGGTTGATTTTGGTATATTTAACTTCTCTCCTATCTCACGCTCAGTTACATGACGACTTCATTTGGCCGACCTGAACGTGGCTCATCTTTAAGTGAAAAATCTCCAGAACGGAATTTGCGAAACCAATTTTGACACTGTCTTCCTTTTAAGGCTTCATCGCCATACACATCTCGTAACTTTTTAGCAACCTGCTCTGCGTTTTTTCCTTTACGGCTCCTTTGTGGGCTCCATATTAAAATTGACGCCAAACAAACAAATGTAAACGAAATTTCGCGCACTTTTTTTCTCAAGCAAGCTAAAAGTAACAGCTGATAACTGACAGAAGAAAGAATGCAATTACAGAGTCACAAGCCGTTGAAAAAATTTGTCAACGCCGACTATATGAAAAATCCGCAATTACTTTTTGGGCTACCCAATAGTTTTGTAAAAACGAAATAATATTTATTTTGATTATAGCCTTCACGAAGACATTTCTCAATATTTCAACCGAAATATTTCGAAAGATTTTTTTTTTTTACAATGCAGGAGAAAGGAAATTGTTTGAGGAAATTTTCGACCACTTTTTGGCAAATATTGGGTGGTACCCCATCCATAAGCTGACGTATGTCGGTTTTCAAGTGCTCAAGAGTTAAAGGTTTATTCACATAAACTCGGTCTCTCGTGCAGCCCTACAAAGAATGTCCAAAGAAGTCAAATCGCACGATCTCGGTGGCTAATTGACAACGCTAAACGAGAGATTATGCCACCGGGATATTTCTGATGCAATAAAGCCATATTCGCTCGTATTTTAAGGCATGCGGCACCATCTTCTTGAAACCACATATTGTCCAAGTCATGTTGTTGAACAGTAAGCCAAAAAAAATTGGTTAACATACGACCACAACGTTCCGAATTGACAGCGACGGTTTCGCCGTTGTGGTTTTCTCAGAAGAAATTTTACACCTTCCGTTCAAACTGCACACCAGACAGTAAGTTTTTTGAGTGTAATGGCCAATATTCAATTATTTGAGGATTCTCGCAGCCTGACAGCTGAAAAAAGTTCTGTTCGAGAAATCACCATCCAATATTTGTTGTTCAAACACCCAATCGCCATATGCATGTACGGCATTGTGAATGATCAGCTGGCACTTTCACTTACATCGCTACGTTTAAAGCCGAACAAGCAAAACAATGATGCACAGCCCTTATAATGTCGGTTTCTTCATGACTTTTTAAAGTTATACTAATTGCTTGAGAAGTTGGACGATTAAGTGCACCCTAATCTCCTCTTAAAAGCACGAAGCGTGGCCACTTTTGAATCACCATTTTTGTAGTAGATTCACACCCGTTGTGCGGTTGTTATGCAATCCATTTTCATAACTGCCTGATTTTGGTTTGACAGATTCAAAAAAATAAACTTATAGTTTTGAAACCACGAAATGGATAACCCTATGTATATGCATATGTAAGTATCTATTTTCATATATTCACCGCTGTATATACATGTATGTAAAGGTCCGCTTGGTTGCAACCAAAAGACATAAATAAAATTCATATCTTCAAATTAATAATGTCATCACCATTTGCATACACACTTACGTACATACATACATATGCATTTCGCTTGAAAACATGCCAAATGACATTTTGATTTTCGAATTTCAGTGCATTGATTAATTGTGAATTATTATTGAGACTTATGTATGTATATGTATTTGAATATTTTTAAATTTTTTTTTGACACAAAACTGTTAATCTAGCACAAAACGAAGAATTGGAAAAAAAAGTAGGAATCCACAGTCTGCGCAAACTGTCGTGGGATAAGCAACATTAATATTAAGCTTATTGCAAAAATACAATACTAAAGCAGACCGTCAATAAACTGATTGGGCCTTTAAACCTGGTAAGTCCTTCATTAGCGAGACATATACCATACGCCAAATCTTGGAAATGACTCGTGGAAAGAATATCGCGACAAGCAACCTCTTTGCTTATTTTTAAACAGCATTTGGCAGCAAAACTTTTAATCCTATGTAAACTAATCTTAAACAAGAATTGAAAGGAGAACCTTTTCGAGTCATTCTATTTAAAAAGAGATTGCAGATAATGTTAGTTCTTATCGTGTAATTTCTTTTTAATTTATTGCCGGAGCTGCAAAGCATTAAAATTTTTTCCAATGGGTCCTACTTTGTATTGAGCAGGCAATTGAAAAGAAAAATATCCAATCGACTAACAAAAACCGGAACTCTGCAAGTCTCTTATCATTCCCGTTTTGCTAAATGGTATGCGGAATTATGGTAGAACACACTGCTAGCCACTTCGGTACAACTTTTTACCTTTGAGGTGAATTTAGGTACCAAAATAATTCACCACATCCGAATACAGTTCTTTTGTGTTGATCCTTTACTATATACAAAACTCTCTTTTACATAGAAAGCTCTTAAGATCCCTATTGTGAGAGTGGTTCAATCATTTTTCGCGAAATCGATTATTTTTATTTCATTTTATTTGACTCTTAATGTTCTTTTGTCACATTCCTCCGCTACATATAATATATCCATACATATTAATTTCGAGGAAAAGAGACAAAGCAGCGGCAGTCATTTTTTCCATAACACAATTTTTGGTATTTACAATATGTTAAATTATTTTTGTATCTTGGCAAATGATGTAAATTTTTTTATTGAAATTCGATTATTTTCTTTCAGCGCCATCGTAGATAAAAATAGATGCAAGGACACATTTCGCGTCAAGAGTATTACAAACGCAAACGTTAAAGAGTGTAACTTATTATAACAACAACAACAATAATAACAACAACAATAATAATAACAACAACAACTGCAATTAAGAAAACATTTGTGCCTTTTTGTTGTATGAAAGAGAAAATCAGATTTAAAAGTCCTTCTGTACTTTATAGCATTACCGTTGAAAATTAACTGTAACAGTGCTAAGTAATTAAACTAATTTCAAACTGCGCTTGCAAGTACATTTTTACTAAGTGAAACATATCTATAAATAATATATCGTATTCTCATATGAAGAGCACTTAAGGAATGTCCTTCACAGGAATTTATGTCCATATTGCTTAATATATTGATGAAAGTCATCCATTATTTTTGCTTTAAATTAAAGACTTTATTTAACACAATTAAAATTAATCGATTTATGCCAAATATGCAACGTTACGCGCGATAACTTTCACAGGCGTCTCTTTTGGCCAATTTTTCATCAGCCAAATAATTCACCATACGCAGGAACAGATATGGTAATCACATGTTACGAGGTCCACACTATAAGGTTAGTGCATAAGAACCTACCATCCAGCCTCTCGAAGGGTTTAGGGAGTCACTTATCGAATTGTGTGTGGTCTTGTGTTGTCTTCATGAAACCATAATTTCCCTCCTGTTGGCCAAAGCTGTGCGCTTCTTGGCGTTTGCTTTCTTTGGACGATCCAATTGCTGTCCGAATCCAGAGTTTGGCTTACCTCACCAAACACATAGCAAAATCTTGGCTTGCCGACTATTTGTGCCAACTCACTGCCCAGCGACCACCACCGTTTTAATTTTACGTTGCTGTAAGTGATCCATGTTTATCAATAGTCACCAACCGCTTCAGGTATTGGTCGATTTAGTTACGATTCAGCAGCGATTAGCTGGTGTCCATCTTTGACATGCGCTATAAACAATTATGGGGCGATGGAAAACAGGACGAACGAAATATCGTTGAAACCATCCACAACAGCCGAGTGGTTAGCAGTGCGTACTGACATTCTGAAGACCAGGATTTGAGTACCGATTCTATCAAAATTAATTTCTCCTCGCTCCTCGGCAGGAAATGTCAAGCTCTTCGAGTTCACATATTTTTAAAGGATATAAAAAAGCTCCGCACAAAAAACCATCGGCCGTTCATAGGCGGCTTAGTATAAGCAGTAGGATGACTTCATTTTTTGGAAAATCATCAAGGCAAATACCACAGATAGGAGGAGGAGCTCATCTAAAAACCGTTTCAGCTTTAAATCATGAATTTGATTCTGAAATAAATTAGCATAAAATTGAAAATAAAATAAAAAGAAAAATTCTCGCGTCACTCATGAATGTAGCACGTAGGATGCGAGCAGGAACCTACCTTCTTACAAAAATCGTTTACGGCTCAATAACCCACCTACATTCCATAGTCGTAGAAAGATGCTTGGAGTTTTATTTTTAATTAAATTGATAAGAGGTGCTATCAATAGCCCATTCCTACTTTGCGAACTTAGCTTTACCATCCCGTTAAGATCGTCTAGACACTTTAGGCCCCTTTAATTGGGCTCGTGCAGAACAAACTTTGAAAGGCACGACCCTTTTAGATCTTTGTGTAACGATTTTAATATACATTTCAGCAATATTGATTCCTCTGATTCGCTTTTTTACTTACTGAGTGCTTTGAATAATTAAATAAATTCCCTCTTCCTTTCCCAATGAAATTTTATAGCAGCTGATGAATTGAAAAGATCTGTAGCTGTTTAGTGTAAGAGGCAAGAGTAACCGCGACCTTCCGCGATCGGTTTCGGGTTCAGGGCAGACCGGACTATTACTGGTTTTCGGTCTGTTGGATTTTTCGATTTCCCTCAGACGCGCCCCTCGGTCGGTTGGGCGGGAGGTGGGTAACGCTGGGTTCGTCGTCAAAAACAAGAGCTCATAAAGGATATATAAAACCTACTGAGCATGCTTAAAATCCCTTGCTGTAGTGCTTTCGTTCCATTTATTGCAACTGACAATATTCACAAGCAGAAGTATTTCGTGATGCGGCTGAGGTATTTCTGATTGTCAAGTAAGCACGAGTCATACATAAAAACTCATTTCATAGCACTTACCAAGGAAACATATGAATGTACATATCATATGTATGTATGTACATATAAATACGTGATGTTGTAATTTATTTATTAATTTCAAATATACTGTTATTGTTGTCCTTGCTTGTTTTGCCATGAAATGAAGGCTGATGCCGAGCAAACAACAAGCGAGTTTATTAAATCGTTCGCTTCGAATGGTAAATAAAGTAAAGTAAAAAGGAGACGCTTAATTTCAATTTTACAAAACAATCAACGCATATAAGATTTCTTGGTGATTATAAGGGAAGGAACAAAATGTTCTGATGGTTGAATCGAAGCGGAAAAAAACGAACATTTTCAGAAGTATGTATGCATCAGAAGAAGAAGGTGTGAAGGTCCACAAAAGATTTTTCCGACATATCAGTTGAGCACATCAAAAGAATATGAAATAAAAAACTGGTCAGTCCGCACAAGTTATGCGAAAAAATAAGAGTGAAAGTACAACAATTCATTCCCAACTAAAAGTTGTGAAAGTTTTTCAAAACACCGTCAGAAATGAAATCTACGAAATCATCATCGGGCCGATGTCTGGAGAAAATTTATTTACTCCGAGTAAAAGTTTACACGATTTTCAGCGAAACAGTTAATTATATGATAAAATAAATTATTGATCAGATAATTTTTCATCTTCTTCTTGTTCTCCTTCATTGACATTGGCACCGCTTTCGCGACGTCCAATAGTGCTAGCTAGAAAGGACAAGTGAAACCAGGTCGCTCTCCACCTCATCCTTCCCATTTAGAGGTGGTCTTCTTCTACTGCGGGTATAACATCGCATAATTTTAAAGTTTGAGTACTTTCATTCATTCCGACGACATACCATTGCCACCGTAGCCGCTATCTCTTCTTTCGCTGAACTATTTAATGTCATCGTATAGCTCGTACAGCTCGTCGTACCATCGTTTTCGGTATTCACAGTTGCCAACGGGTAAAGAACCATAAATCGTTCGCAAATTTTTTTTCTTAAACACTCCCAAGTCCGGCTTATTAGATCACGTTGTAGGAAGGGAATGATAAGTGAATTGTAGAGTTTGGTTTTAGCTCATCGAGAGAGGACTTTTCTTTTCAATTGCTTATTTAGTCCGAAGTGGCAGCTGTTGACAAGAGTGATTCTGCGTTGGATTTCAAGGCTGACATTGTTATTGGTGTTAATACTGGTTCTGGGCAGGCGAATGCAATGCCAACCATCCGGCTACCGCGGCCGCCGTTTGCTTGATTATACGAGATATTTCGTTTTGCTCTTGTTGGTTACCAGAATCATGCGCTTCGCATGACATAATCTATGTTATAATCACTATCAGAAAAGTTGCTGATGATGTTGGCATATCGTTCGGCATGAAACGTGCGGTAGCAAAGATTGTTCCGAAATTGCTAAGTTTTGAGCAAAAACAACGTTCTCGCTCAAAACGTTCGTATATACTATATAAGGCCTTGTGTGAATAAGCCTAAACCGCTGCTAACACTAACTGGTAAAAACCTGAAACTTCTCAGTACGCACCCGAAAAGAAAGGATATCCAGGGTAGTCGACCAGTTTGTTTTTAAATAGTTTGATTCACATGACATATGGTACACAGGTAACTCATTGCCTAAATTGTAATGTGAAACAGTTTTTTTTTCGGGAAGTGGCTCTGTGACCGATTCGATGACTGTGCTTTGCTCAATATATGGACCACATATTAACCAAAAACGAGGTGCTTTGCCAAGGTTAATATGTAGAGATCTGTTCGGAGAAGTGCTATTCGTAGATTCGATTTGGTTCATATCTGGAAAGGTACAAACAATTCTGTCTTATTGGGAATGTCATGTAAAAAAAATCCTGTGGAAATTTTGATAGAGAACAAAAACAAAATATAGAAATTTATTTTTATTTTACGTTCAAAATATTCACCCAAATTTTTACACAGGAAATTCCCAATAACTTATCTTATTAGGACCATCTAAGAATTCTATACGGACGAAAACTCGGGCTAACTCTAGTATATAGTAGGTTGTACATACCTACATAATTCCTTATTCTGGCTGACTAACAATGTACGCCCAACGTAACCCGCTGATCCTTTATTAAGGGGTTGCATAGGTCTTGAAGGCCAAAAAGAAGTTTATTTTCTCTAATTTTTTTTTAAAGATACTAAATAAAGTATGCAATTTATTTTCTTTACATATAAAAGTGCAATATGTGAACAAAATCTGATGAAAATTTGAATGAAAAATAGTATAAGTTAAGGCGTTGGCAGTGTCGTGAAGTAGACCGTCCACAAGAAAGTGCTTACGCGGTAGTCATGCTAGCTTTTTCAATTTTTTTTTTATGAAATCAAAAATCCAAAATTTTTCTTAAAGTAGGTGAATTTCGCTTGTCCTGAACGAAGAAAAATTGAAACAATTAAAAATTGAATTTTTCTGTAGCTTTTTTTTTTACAAAAAAAGTAATTTTTTGCATAAAATTAGGTCACATATTGACTTGTAAATTGAGTTGAAAACGAAGATGAAATAAATACCTCGTTCAGGGACTACAAAAGCATGCTTAAAAGAAGTGTGAAAAATTAAAGCTCGATCACATCAATAGTCGTTGAGAAATTTCGACTACCGATTTCGATAAAGTGGTTTTAGGAAAAACGTGTTTAAAGTGTCGCCATCGGTCAAGTCATGACAAGGACGGCGGGTTATAAATCTCTCTAATTTCTGCAGTTTTGTCTCGATCGACTTGAAACTTGGGCAAAATATTCCAGATACTTTGTACTTTTATACAAAATATTATCAAAAAAATTATAAAGACCTATGTAACCTCTTAAATAGGATTTGACTTTGTTAAATTTGTGCACCACTGCGTATACGCACTCTCAGTGTATTATATATTGTATAATATGTACTGTTGATGAAATCAGGTGGCAAGCAAACAATCCCTATTCCACTGCCTAAACTTTAAATGTGCAAATGATAAACAAAGACAAAAAGGATATAAAATAAAAAGCTTAAAAAGAGTAACGTGAAAAATGAGTGAAATGAGAGAGTCAAAATACTATGAATAAAAGAAGTGATTGATGAAGTAAATTTTATTTTCGTACGTCACCAGCAACCATAGACAATTGACTGTGGAAGCAATTGCTATTTATATTTCACGCTCAATGAATGCCTTCCGTCTGCTAGTCATCTACCGCTGAATGCATGTTAAAAATCAATAAAGAAACCAGTACAATTAACTCATCAAAGGCGTTTGAAATTTTTTTAATGTTTTATCACTTTCGACGACTTCTTCTTTTCAGCTTGTGGGGTCTGAGGTTTTTTCAATTTTTATCAAATTTCATCTTTACACTTTGTATTTTTTTTCTTTTTTTTTTAATTCCAATTGCACGTGCTTTTATACTTCAATATGTATGTGTGTATGGTGTATACATTTTCATCTACTTGTATGTGCATGTATTTGTGCCTGGCCACTCACACCACGATTGCACGTGCAACCGGTATCCAACAAAGCCGGCGATGAATTTCACTTACATACAAACATATTACGTTTGTACATCTTTTTTTTTCTGCATGCATACATACAAATATTCATCCTTGGCTGTCGCGTCGCTAATTTATTTCTTTAACTCTTTTGCTTTTATTTCTTGGTTTGACTATGGTTTGTGCATTTTTAACCTTGCTTTTGTATTATGTGTTTATAAATAAAAAATGACTTATCGGTTTATAATGTATATATGTACATATGAGTACACTTACTTTTATATGTATGTTTAAACGTTTATATATATAAGTAAGATTGCTTACAAAACTCGTTGCATTTTTCTTTTACACCCTCTAACATATACATATGTACATGTGTATGTATAGTTTTGTACTTTTTTGCAAAATAAATATTAATATTCACACAGCAAACTCTTCATATTTTTTGATAATAAATTTTTGAAAAAATCATTATTCCACCATTAAATACTTAAATATGTAAGGAACTTCTTCTCACTTCATCTTTTCTCGTTACGGTATTTTCTGCACCCTCATTTTACTTCTCTTCCGTTTCTTATCCGTTTTTAATCTGAGTTTACTCTAAAACAAAAATCTACACTCATTCACATTACCGAAATATTGTAGTTACTTTTCTAAATTTTTTTGACGTTTAATGTTTACGCAAGAAACCCCAAAACTAAACTGAATTGTTGTACACTTCCGCGTATGCGGAAAAGCAATGCCGTCAACAGTTTCTAAAATGTTTTCGAGTGCCAACTTCTACACTACGACAGGCGGCAATGCAATTCTTCACTTTGTTTTTGTTTGAATGTTCTTAATTTGGTTTTTTGCTTTTGTGTTGGTTCTTTTCTACTTTTCGTTTTTTTGTTTTGCTGAGATCTCAGCGTCTGCGTGTGCGTCAGGAGTGTGAACCCAGTAGAAAAGGTATTGGTTTTATGCCATAGTTTTTAGACCTATCCCGTCTGAAGAAGTCAAACGATAGACCGTTACTTGGCATGAAACTTGATTTTGCCACATTGTAAGGTACAAACATTTCTTTTTCAAACGAGCAATGGTGCTCGATTTCGCTAAACTATCGATTAATCCGGTTTTCGCTAACCATCGATTGGTGGCCGCGATAGCCGAGGGGCCAACATTGAGTACTACCGTTCGGAAGGCTCGGGAAAATTAATTTAATTAAAAAATTAAGTTCACTTTCCCAATTGCGGTCGCCCTTCGGTAGGGAATGTCCACCTCTCCGAGTGTATTTCTGGCATGAAGTAAAGCTGCTTATAAAAAAATCATCAGCCGCTCGGCGGCGGCATAGTATAAACTGTAGGCCCATCCATTTGTTGGAAAAACGTAAACTTTGGACTGCATAGGCAATTTAAAAATGAAGCCTCTCTTCACAAGCCAAGACCCAACTCTATCAGTCAGTTATCATTCCATTCTACGATTTAGTGCAGAGGATTGGACTTTATCGACGGCCCTAGGGGTCTTTGAAAAAAAAGTTTTGCGAACGATTTCTGGTCCTGTGCGCATTGGATGCTGTGAATATCGCAGACGATGGAACGATAGGATGTACGAATTATACAATGACAGCGGCAACGCTGGCAAAGCCATGTAGTCCGAACGAATCGAAGTGATCTGGTGGTGAGCGACCTGGTTTCGCTGGTTATTTCCGGCTGGCACGAAGCAGCGAAAGGAAGATCCAGAAAGTGTTTTTCTTTTTTTATTGCCCTTGACACTGCTTCTGCAGTTCGGCACATATTGCTTGATAATAAGTAAAGCCAGATCAGACTACATATGATATTTTCAAAGAACCTAGCCGACGAAGCCGCTTAAATCATACATCTTGAACATCTTATCGTTCCGCCGCGTGTGGTATTTGCCGCTCGACCGGAAATTCAACGCCAACCGCCGTTTTATTGTACTTCAAGAGGGCAATTGCCCTTCGGATTTTCATCATAGAAATGGTAATAGAACGTCTGTCATCAAAATCTATTGGGGTATCGATTGCTTAATTTTCAGTGCCATTCAACCGCCTGGAGAAGTAAACTCTGCGAATCAGTCACTAGATCACCTCTTTGGAAACTACATGAATGGGCTTTGGTCTTAAACCCATCTGAAAATCGTTGCACTTTCTGCCTAGCATTTTCGAGTGTTACCCCTATCGACCAGTTCCCAAGCTCTTCATGCTAACGCATTTTTAACTCTCGGCATCTTAACACACAGTGCTCTTTATGGTCGATCGTAACGTTGTGAGATTTTTTCACCCCACTGCGATAAGGTAGGACTCATCGTCCCAGTTTTTAGGAGCTTCAAATGCTTTTTCATAACAAACTGTGTGTAGGTTTAGATTTTGGGAACATATAGCGAGCCGCTAACTCCAAGAAAGACGCCCGATGTCATCCGTATCCCTGCTCAACAAACCCTGCAAAAAGGATTTAGTGAAACCTAAAATCGTTTACGTCGGAGGGTTTAAATTTCATGGAGTCTCTCTTTTATTGTGACCCTTGACCTTACACGGGTTGGTTACCACATTACACCAAGGTTTTTAGTATTCAAAATAATGTATAAAAACTGTCTGTTGCATCTACTACCGAGTACATAAAAAAAATGCATACACCGCTGCTCAGTTCATTTGTAACTAAAAGCGACTAGCAGTGAGAGTGCAAATTTACCATAGAAACAGCAGTCAATGCATCTAAAGCACTTTATAAAATTCGTCAAATTAAAAATAACAAACGCGCATATCAAGAGACAGAAATGCGACGAAACTCTGAATGATGGCGACAGCCACGCTAACGACGACCACAGCCAAACTCTCATGACGTCATTACATTGCACGGCATGCGCTTTATTGATGGCGTCAATGCACGGTCTGCACGGTTACTGCCAGCAACAACAACAACAAAAACAATTAAGTACTAAGCAGTACACGCCTACCCGAGGGGCGGCCGCAGCAGCAATGAACTCAAAATGATTAAATAAAAATAGTTGTTTTGTGTATTTAGTATCATTAAGTTAACGCAAGAAAAAATCGTCATAAACAACAAAAGCAACATAATGCAAAGCTAAACAGGATCTTACTATTAAATAAGTGACACGAGATAAGTAAAAGACCACTGGACAATGGCACGCGCGTAAATATTTTAATGCACAAAAATGTACTTATCATTTGTACTATTTAGTTGCGCTAAGTGCTTAAGGAATTTTTCATTAGTTTCAATTTAAACGCATATACATATGTACATAAATACAAACCCCTATTAACACCGATACCCAGTGAACGAAATTATCAAAGTCTCATATTGCATTTTTGAAATAAAAAAATGTTTTTTAGCTATAGCCAATGCCGTTGATGTACGATGTTGTTGCTTTAGCCGCAAAAATATTCCCCAAAGTATTTTTTGGGGGATGTCGCGAGAGTGGCAATCCTTGCCCGGTTAAAAGGTTCAGGTCGAAGACGACGCCGAGCATACAACCTTTCAATGCACCGTTGGCAAGACGCGAGAATCAGACTTGAAAGAACAGTTGGAGAACTAAATGTAGATAATATTGTGGTGGCGAGATATAATCTCACATAATGATTATGCGGAAGGCATTTCTCTTCTCCTTATCCGCAAAAAAAAGAGAGAAATTTAAATTATTATTATTATTATTATTGTTATTATTATTATTATTATTATTATTATTATTATTATTATTATTATTATTATTGTTATTATTATTATTATTATTATTATTATTATTATTATTATTATTATTATTATTATTATTATTATTATTATTATTATTATTATTATTATTATTATTTTTTTATATTATTATGATTATTTATTATTATTAATTTTTTTCATTATTATTATTTTTAATTATTATAATTTTTTTTTTGTTATTATTATTTTTATATTATCATAACTTTTTTTATTACTGTGCTATTATTATACAATTCACCAAAGTACAATATACGCGCCTCTTAAGACAAGCATAAATTACCGAGACATGATAAGTCTTCTTAGCTCAACAAGATTAATGATTACAATTTAAAATTAAGTTTCAAACTTCTCATTTTTTTTAACTTTATTCCAAGCCAAACCTTTACTAAATTTATCACAAAACATTTTAATTTCAATTATAATAATTTACAATTAACAAATAAGTCATTCAATAACATATTTAGTTTGAGAAACCTTTCACACATTTTTCAAAGGAAAAGCTAATAACGTAAGTGCACCAAAAAAAATATATTTTGTGAAAATACCTAACTAAGCACATATTTCAAGAGATTCAAAGATATTAGAACGTTATACACTCCAAAATTTGTAACAGCTTTGCTTACCCAGATTTTTCCATCTTATATGCTACTAATTTCGTGCTATCAATATTTACATAAATGTTTACATATGGTTTTCGAAATATTTTATATGAGATTCAAAATAGGCTTTGCTCTTGAAAGTCGATTGTTGTTAAATTTTCAATACTATCTTAAATTATAAGGAAATATTTTACTATTTCATTAAGTCAATTGAGTCATTGGAAAACATATTTGTTTTGAAAAATCGTTCGTTTTAACAAAAGAAATTCGAAACCTACATATTTGAGTTTTTACTATTGTTTTACATGCCCTGATTTTGCTTTTATATACAACTATGACTAATTTCCAATATTTACATATATATACACATACAAACATATGTATGTACATGGTTTTCGAGATATTAATTATAAGTTAAAATAGGCATGATGCTTTTGAAAGGCAAATTTGGTAATTAAATAAGCACCGTACAGCATATTTTTTATAAACTAAATTCAATAGGAACATGCATAAAGGTGAAATTGCTATTAGCCAATAAATATATAAAATAAATTTCAGAAAAATTGTTTAAAGCTTAACTTAAATATTTATAAACTTCAAATGGACGAACTACCAAATTATATTTTCCGCAATAACTTGTTGGCAACATTACAAATTGAGGTAAATAAATTATAAACAAATGTATAACACATTATTAACATATTATTTTATGCTTACAACATTTAAGCACCATTTAAAGCACCAAGCGGTTGTTATACAATATAAAACTTAAAATAAAAAATTGCTGCAGCAAATTATTTGCTCTCGCAAAAAGTCAAATTCAATACGTATACGTTTAATTAAGTGAGATTTCTGTTAAGCATAATATACTAAATAAGTATTTTCTTGAGTAACTCTAAACCATAAAATCTAGCTATTGTGTTCGAAATTGAATGCTAAAAGTAAATGAAAATAAATAAATAAAAACAAGATACTTCTTTTAAAATATATGCAACTTATGTTTACTCCTATTTCCCTTAAATAATGAAGATTACGTAGTTACTGAAATTAAGGTATTCCGTAGTTTTTTTCCATTTTTTTTTTTTTTGTATTTCACATTGTGTCTGCGCGATAGTCATGTCCACAGGCAGAGCAGCTACGCCTGTCCAAACCTGTTGAGAAATAAGTATACAAACGACATTTAAACAGATTTTTCATATTTTTATAGCACAAATCTTTTGGAAAACTTACCCAACCGCGCACGCTCGGCTTCTTTGGCAATAATAATTTCGTTGGTGAGGTAAACTTCACGTCGTATCTGATCGCGCAGCTCAATACTCATATCTGGTATGCACCAACGCACCAAAATCATAACGAGTGCAACGAAATTCTGAAAAAAAAAAAAAACAAAAAAAAAAATAGGAGTTAGTTATAAAAGGCGTGTATTGAATAACGAAATAGTATTTAAATATGTTTTTATAAATATTAACTTTTTTTAAATATATCAAGTACAAGTGGTAATATATGTATGTATTCGTATATATGGATTTTTAGATTTTTTTTAAACTATATTTTTATTTGTTTGTTTTGTTTAATAAAAATTCAATGTTGCTACGCCAGCACTTTCTAAAACGAAATGTTTAACCTACATTCTGTCGCTTATTTACAGAAAATTATCGGGGTCATGAGCTAGGAATGAAGACATAAAAATGCTTTCAAATTCATTAGGGGTAGTTTGATGATAACTGTTGTTTAATTAACACTTTAAATAAGTGAAAAATTGTTTAAAATAACATTTTTCGTTTTTAGTAATAATTACATTGAAAATGGAATTCTTTCATATCTATTTTTATTTTTTTTTTTTTGTTTTTTATGTTAAGTTTTTGCCTTTAAAAATTATTAAGATCACTATCCGGAAAACCAGAGTTGAGACAAAAGGGGGTTTGTATGACATTTATCTGTTTACATTCATGTCATAAAAATTAATTTATAAAATTAAAAGAAGTAAAAGTGTATGACCCTATCTTTATTTAAAACATTTTATGTATTTACATATTTATTTTTAATCCATTTGGGAACATATATTAGTCTATATTTTATGGGTTAAGGCGAGCAAGTATTTTAAAGCAATAAACCTCTAATCTGAGTTAGTACCTCACAACTTTTCCTTTTTAAAAAATAATTAAATTTCTCTAATTACTTTTAAACTCCCCCACTGCATTTTATCTACCCTGCGTTAACACCTCTTAATTGGCCCTGCTCGGAAGTGTGTCAGATCATTAAACTTTTGCACTTTCGCCACATCTATAGCCAGCAACTGCAACCGGCATACACCACAAATCACTCAACACAAAGCAAACGCGACACAAGGCATGCAGCAAAAATCGGACTAAACTCAATAAAATTAGCTGTCTGTGGCGCAGGCATTTGTTGTCACCACTTCATGTCGTTGCTGTTGCAAATGTACGACATCAATTTAGTATAATTGGAAACCTCAAGGCGTCAGCAACGCGTCAAGTGCAGTAAAAAAGTTCAAAAATATTTTTTGATTTTTGATGAGGAGAATTCAAATTTTGTAAAAAAAAAAAAAAAAATTAAAGTGGATTTTCTCAGATCGTTATTTGAGATTCGTTCGTATACTTTTGCGCCGGACTTTGAAGTAACTGCAACCGCACCAGCGTCAACGTGTACTTCTACATTCAACATGAAACGTTTCAATTGTTTTAATTTACGTTCCTTTGGTTTTATTGTTGCCGGCTTTGATATTATTTTGGGCTTATGTACGTTGGCAATTTGCTCTTACTACCTATGGACGGATTATGTGCATGTATCGTATTGGCCGCAGGATGAGGTGAAAATATTGAGTCCTCTAAGCAATTTCATTGCAATAGTGGGTGAGTTGTAGGTAGAAATTTCGCGTGTTAAGGTGATGAGAAGAGATGGTATAGAATAATTAATTATTAATAAATATTATATTCACAAAAACTTATTGTTTTAGCAATTTTTAGACAATATTACGCATTTTACATACTTTAAAATTCACAATATATATGTATATATTGTCATATTTATCTATAACTTATTAAAACACCACATTTTAAAGCAGCTTATTAAATCATATTTTTAAATTTCAGTTGATTATGTACTCGTACATAACTTCTCTAATGCATTCTATATGGTCTTGGCTGTTATAATTTGGATTAAATCATTAATTAATTTAATAGTTGCTTCCATACTTATGGATGGTATCAGAAAGGTAAGATTGCCTTAAAATTTTCCACAAAATTAGCACAATCTAAACTTTATTGTGATGCTTTTTTACTTGTATACTTTTTCCCAATTGTTCTGTGAAACTTTTGCAGCAACGTCTTATTTGCATTACACCCTGGCTTATTAATACAATAATTTCGATTCTCATTGAGATAGCCGTATTTGTTTTCATGGAAATTAAAATGAATGAATTTGAAGAGGGTATTGCATTGGATCGACGCATTGTGCACAGTGTCATCTTCGGTGTATTTATGGGTAAAAATAATGAGATATTTAAATTTGACAAACTGTTTCTAAAACTCTTCTATACAGTTTTTAATGCACTCTCTGTATTCGGCATCTTTGCATTATATAAAATGCTGAAGGCCACCGCTAATGAGAATCGTACGCTACAGGAGAGTATTGTGGAAGCAGCTGGACTTTATCAGCATGTTAAAGTTTAAATTTATAAATATTTGTTCGTAACAAGTTTTCGCAACATTTTGCATGAAACTAATGGATGAATCAATTTGATTATGTATGTATTATTGTTGGACAATGCATTTATTTTGGAAGGCAAGTGTAAAATTAAATATAAAATTAAAATATATAAAACTGATAAAAGAAAAATAATAAAAAGTACTAATGTGAAGGTTCAATTAGATAAAAGAAGATGCATTTTTAAATATTTTAAATTTAGCTATCTTTTACGCCAAGCCAGAAAAGCATTCGGAAGTGATTTAAAATTCCTGCCGAACCATAATTAGAAAAATTAACTTAATTTTAATTTAAATTAATTTACTATAATTTCTGTATGATGATCGCAAGTGGTCTTCCGAATTGAAGCAATCACTGCTTACCATTCGGCTACTGCAGCGTATCAACTGGTAATTAATTTAATTTTCCCGACCCCTCACATATTGATTATATTATTACATACTCATTTCTTTACTGAAACTCACCTCAAACACCACAACAAAAGCCAGCCGACATGCAAGTATAATATAAAACATACTAGTTAAATGATATCTTTGTGGCGAAGTTGGCGCTTCCCGATAATCCGCGTAGCTATAAAATTGTAAAATGCGCTTTTATTTTAAAGTAATAATACGAATATGGAAAAAATCTTACAAACACATTGTTATATTCGATCCATCACCAGCTAAGCTGCGCATATAATCCGATTCAGTAATGTTGTATTGCGAGAGTGTAAAATTTAAATAACCGTTTAAGGTATGATCTTCGTTTTGCGCACGATATACCAGTCTCGGTATGAAGTCGGAGGTAAAGGCTATTATAAAACCCTTTAAATACACAAAATCAAGCAGTTATTATAAAAAGTTTAGATGAAATTTTCAATTGCACTTACATTGGTAATCACACTAAGTTTGCCTATGCTGTCCAATATGCGATACCAAACACCAATATCGCGTACACGCTGTGACACTGGGCGCCTGTAGTTTGCAAGCAACTTTTTCGCATCCAAACGCATTTCAAATATATTATTGAGTAAAGCAAAAAATGGTGCTAATGGAAAAGCGGCCACAAATAATGTAACGAAACCATACTGTAAAACTTTAAATACAATATAATATTATATTATATAGTTAAATATCACCCAAACTTACCCATTTCCAGATATTCCGGAAACAAACTGCGCGAACCCCAATCTAGTAATTTTAAATCACGCAAATAACGTTCAACCTTTTCCTTATTGATATCCGGACCTTTACTGCTGAACAAACGGGATAGACCTACTTGTATGGCCATAACTTTACGCCATATCTTTGGCATTATTACCTCCAGTATGGAGTTAAAAGCTTGTTTGCCAATCATTATGATTGCTAACTGGATACAGAGTTCAGTCAAGCAGCCGCCAGAGGAACACTACGTTATTAAAAAAATATATATATACTGATTTTATACAAACTCAATTTAAATATATTTAAAGTTTCCATTACTAGTCACCTCCTCTTGTCGATAATCCAATATTGTGTTATATTTTCCTGGATATCCGACAAACTTGCCTTTGAAGAACGCTATATAAAATATGGAGGCGTAATAGTTTACAAACTGTAATAAATAAATCTTTAGTGTCAACGAATCATCGAACTGCGTCTGTGTGCGCCACATTTCTAGCTCAGTCAGATACTCGGCAAGTTGTGTATATATCTACATCGAATGTAATAAAAGTAGAATTATTTAAAAAAAATTAAAATATACAACGGATTTTGTGAGATCTTACATAGTTTAGCACATATAGCAGACACAGGTTGACGAACGCGGCTGACGCCGTAGCCAACATGATTGCGCTCGATGTTGTCATTGTACTCTTATTGTATTTAAGCGTACCCATCATAGACATTCGGTATACAACTACAGCAACAAGCGCGACAAAAGCTAAAAATATTAACAGAAAAACAACTGACACACTAAAAATTGTGGCGGGAAATTTCATACGCCAAAATGGCACCTTAGGCTCTTGTATATTTGTAACATAATCAATTCGTGTACGCGTATTCTTCACATGTACTAAACGCGAAAGATACTCGGGACGTGGATGCTCTTCGTGTACATCAAAGCCAGTTAAATCCCAACGATGTGTTATCTCGGCAGAATAACGTTTCCATAACTCCAAAAAGAGTGTCGCCCAAAAGGACATAAAGACGGCAAAGAATACAGTGCTGGGATTGTCAAAGAGGTAGGTAATTTTGGCATAAAAACAGGTTTCCTTGAGATACCAGAAATTACAATAATCACACAGTGGACACATGGTGAGATTTTTAGTTTGTTCCTCTGAGCAAACATCTTGGCTGTGGATGGGAAAAATAGGCAATGGTAAATGGATGTAAGATTAAGTGTGCTCTTACAAGTAAATATACATACACCGGTATATAATCTTTCAGTGTTATCAATGAATACACAAAGCAAATGATGCCAATCAACGAAGCGAGCAACAACATGTAAGTGTAGAATCCCAACCAAGCAAAGTACAGGCCTAAAATGGAGATAAATCAATAAGTATTAAAAAAAATTAAAGCAGAAGAGTGCGCATACCGATTTTAACACCAAAATATTCCTTTACATAGTCAAGCGGTTGATAACGATACCATTTATTGACCGAAGCCCAATGTGTGTAAAGGGCTTCGCGCATTGTTCCTTTCTCTGTGATCTCACCCTGAAATGAACGATAAGCATTAGTATTTAAATTAAATATAAAAAAATTAATAGATGAACGAATGCTGCGCTACAAATAACTATATTTAAGCTACTTCTACAGGTTTAAATGCGTTTTACTCAAAAAGAAATTTTGACATTTTCAGTGGTGGTGATCAGTCTCATATGTTAACACAATATGCTTAGTCTCAATTATTAAAGGAACCAATAAATTTGCAAATTGTAAAGGGTTTTGCAATAAGAGTTGTTATTTTAAATACCCTGCTATTCCGGTAGATGTCACTTTTGGAACTGTAACTATTTGGCATTTGACAAGTAAAAACTCACAGCATCCGGGGCACGGAAAACCAAAGATTTATTGTTGAAAAGCCTCGCCATCCTCAACGTTAAGCAGTTACAGTGCAGTTTATGGTCCAGAGGGGTCATTGGAACTTACTTTTTATTTATTTTATAATAATAACAAAGCATTAGTACAAAACGATTTCCATATCTTTTTTAGTACAGCAGAGATAGTGTGAAGAATAAGTAAATATTACTTTACATTGACAAAAATAATAATAATATATAATGAACTGCGTATGGCAAAAATTTAAGCAATTATTAAATGGTCAGTCTATGTTTGAAATTTGGCCTTTAAAATGCATATATATGTGGTTTTTGAAATTGGTACTGTTTAATATCCTCCTTAAATTAACAGAAAGAGAGTTCCATAATCGACTAGCATTGACAAAGGACAGCCTTGATGATTGCTGTGATTTATGAAAAGGTATTATAATATTACCTACTCTAGCGGACCGAGTAAACGCAAATGAATGACGCAATCAAAGATAACTAATGATTTTTTTGTGGGCGGAATTTCACGGCATTGATCTGGACATTTCATTTTCAACAAGACGAAGCATCGAAACTATTTTTGAATATCAAAATAATAGCTCTTATTGGAAACCCCTTTAACAGAAATAATTATTTAATCACTTTCATACATACATCGTGTAATGGATAAGCCGCACAATAAACATTCGCCACAACCAGGCGATCAATGCCGAACGCACGCGGATCTTTATCACGATCCTCAAAATATTGTCGGTCCAAAATGAATTGTACGATGCGGGAGCGAACTGCATTTGTAAAAAAACAGCGATGATGTATATCGAATCTACAAGAAGAAACAAAAAATTATACCAAAAATATTTGATATTGAATATTTGAATCATTTCAACTCACAAATACTCCTTATCACGGCTATATATGGCGGTGAAGCGATGAGCTCGGCGCGGAAAAACAGCCTCATCGACAAATATGTTCCGCAGAAAGAATTGCACAACCGTTTTGAGACTACTGAATGCAGAACGAGTAGAGCGATTCACGACAGACATGCCGGGTATCTGAAATGATAGAACAGTTTTAACATTTATTCGTATTAAGTTATTGTACAGCGATTAGTAGAACAATTGAAGCGAAAAATGTGATACAACATATTGACATAAACTTATAAAAATAATACATAAATATAGTTTTGCTTTATTTAGTACTAATGCTATGCGCAAAACTGCTTTCGAAAAGGTGTAAAGCGCGAATTTCACACAAACCAAATAGCAAGCGCATGAATAGAGTGGCGAAAGAGGAAAGCTTGGAGTAATTAACAGCGTTTTTATTATTTCAATTCAAAGTGGGCGTTTTTATGTTTTATTTATATATGTACGATATATATATGTATATAGTCCAGACCTTTCGGGAGAGGTACTGCGCTGCATTTTTCAAACGACTGTATTTGTTGTAAACAGTGGTATTGCAAAGTTCCTGTAATAGTAGTGCATTAAATTTAAGTTATGCTTTATCGGGGAAAAAATAAATCAAATAACATAAAAAAAAAATACTTTTGTGCTTATTTTTCAACTAATGTATAGGTGTAAATTTAAAAAGGGTTTGTTTCAAGTTTAAAAAACTATTTTTTTATCATAATGCAAACTAAAAGCTTTTTTTCAAAATTTATTATGGTGCACTACATTGGGGCCCACAAGCTAGTGTCTTTCTGTTTTTACCTACACAATGTGGAAAAATAAACCCTACATACAATTGCTGAAAATATTGAAAGAAAAAATGTATGTTACTAAAATAAGTATTGTTATTTATTAAAATGTTACATTGTAAAAGAGTAACCGATAGTCGATACATTCTGTTTATTCGACAGAGGTTTAGTGACCTTTACCGCAATGGCCAACAAATATATCACGACTATTTACTAATTTACTATAACTTAGTTGAGTTCATCTAGCTAAGTTCGACTAAATATATCTGTTGTTGTTGTCGTAATCGAAAAAATATTCCACAAATTGATTTTCGCGAAATATTGCATGAGTGACAATCCTTGGACGGGTTAAAAATCCAGGAAGTTCCGGAATAAAGACGCGACTATCGTGGGAGTTATTGAAATTTAGTCGCCTCTTACGCCATGCATGCCTTACCGCGGATAAATTCTTGAATTTCTAACCCTCAGGAGGTATCTAACTAAATACTATATCTCTCTGGGACTCTAGTTTTTGAGTCATGAAAGAAATGCTGCTGATGTGTTGCACGTAGTGTCGTCTTGTTGAAAGTAAACGATGTTCAGATCAATACCTCCCAATTCCGGCCATAAAAAATCATTTATCATCTTTCGATATCGCAATCCATTCATTTTCGAATAAGTAAGGTCCAATTACCCCACCGAACCATAAGCCGCGCCAAATAAAAATGAAATTTTGAGTTATTAGTCCGCCTGAAACTTTTGTTTTTCCAACAAATGGAGGGTTCGGTTTGGTTAGATTGAGCTGGCTGACCCATTGATTCTCATATAGACTTTAATGCTACCATAGTGTTGCCGGACACACTACATACGACCAAGCAATACTACTACACTCCTATTGAGTCTACAGTGTGAAGAACATTACTGTTCTTTTCGTGAACTAAAGTAGACGTGGGTGTAATGGGGTGTTGTCAAGCTTCTGATTACGCTGTTAAAGTTGCGAGGGTACTCAATTTGTACTCTTGTGTCCACGTCGCGCACTCTGGAAACGTGGGCAACCCTTATGCAAGATGCGGTAACCAACCCGTGTGGAACTTTGGATCCCGACTAATGAGAGATGAAGCTTCTGTGGAGTCACTGCGACTTATTCGGTTTAAGGGTCTGCTGAAGTCTAATCACCAGAGATGCGGCTGCGAGCGGGCGTCGGTCAAGAAGCAAGCGGCTCTCTATATAAATGTGTAGAAAAACTTTAAACTTACTCGCCTAGCGAGATTGTACACTGGGTGTGGGACTCGCCACGTAGAAACTAGCTGCAATGAAAAGTTTTACAACGCCTCGGATGAGATACCCCCTTTCTGTTGACGACGCCGCAAACGAATGAAGGATCACATTTGAGGGCATGCACTTAGAATGTCCGGTCCCTTAATTGGGAAGGTTCCGCTGCCCAGCTGGTTGATGTCATCGTAAGAAAGCCTGGCATCACCGCCGTCGAAGAAGTGCGATTGACGGGACAAGGAAAAAAGCTAGTAAGCTCTTTTGACATTTACTACAGCGACCATGTAAAGGACCGTAAATTTGATATATATTGAATTTATGGAGTGAACTCTTCTTCAAGCTACTGAATAGTAGTGAAAATGGAGAATCCGGAGATGGTGAAATCGAAACCACAATCGATGACGATCAAAAAGGCGCTCCATTACCTGACCATGAAAAAGTTCGAATAGCAATCGCTCGTTTAAAATACAACAAAGCCTGCCTGCAGAACTATCCCAACATGGCGGTGAACAGCTGACAAGTTGCATGCATCAGCTATTTTGCAGAATATGGTCGGTCGAAAGCAAACCCGACGATTGGAAGTTAAGTGTGCTCTGCGCAAATAACCTTGGGATAAGCCTCCTTAATATATCCTGTCGAACGGTGTGAAAGACTGAAGCCCATCGCCAACAAACTGATTGGCCCTTATCAGTGTGGCTTCAGACCTGGTATGTCAGCCATTGACCAGATATTCATCACGCGCCAAATCTTAGAAAAAACCCGTGAAAAGAGGATGGAAATCTTCGTCGATTTTAAAGCCGCCTTCGACAGAACGAAAAGGAGCTGCCGCTATGCCTGAATTTGAATATCCTCGCAAAACTTATACGGCTGTAAAAGCTGATGCTAGAAAACACCAGAAGCGCAGTCAGAATTGGGAAGGACCTCTCCGAGCCGTTTGGTACCAAACAAGGAAGGAAGGTACAATCTTCTATAAAAGTGTATAACAAGTGACATTATCGGCCTCAACAACCGCGCCGTTAGTTCTACTTTCTCCAGGCTTGATAAAGAAACGAAGCCCATGGGTCTGGTAGCGAACGAGGACATGACGAAATATCTCATGTCATCAAACAAACAGTTATCGCATTCGCGACTTGGCTCCCACGTCACTGTTGACAGTCGTAGAAAATTTCGTCTATCTAGGAACCAGGAATAACAACGTCAGCCTTGAAAAGTAAAGTCCTTTCCCGACGAACGAAAACCAAACTCTACATGTCTCTCATCGTTCCCGTTCTGATACATGGTGTCGGCGTTAGGAGTTTTCGAGATAAAGGTTTTGCGTAAGATTTATGGTCCTTTGGTTACGATGGCTAGGCCATGTGGTCCGATAGGATGCGAATAATCCAGCTTTGAAAATTTTCGATACAGTACCCGCCGGTAGCTGCAGAGGAAGAGAAAGACCTCCACTCCGTTGGAAAGACCAGATAGAGAAGGACCTGGCTGTACTTGCTATTTCCAATTGGCACCAAACAGCAAAAAGAAGAAACGAATGTCACAATGTTGTTAAATCGGCGGAAGCGGTGTTTACGCCAGTAAAGTAAGAAGTAGACGTTTTTGCGCCTTGCCCATTGCGGATTGACGATCCCGTAGCACCAGCCAAGCATAACCTTTGTCTTCAAAATGCCGGGCACGCACAGATTATGCGTGTAGTTTTACTACTTTTTGATTTTGCTTCACTTCCCTGAATGTAACTGCAAGGTTCGATATTGCGTGCTCTTCTAAATAGATCTACAGCTTATTCTAAGCACGACCAATGCTTTTAATTCATATAAGAAATACACTCGGAGGACTTGATATTTTCTGTCGAGGGGCGACCGAAATTAGAATAATAAATTTTCTTTAATTTTGAATGTTGGACGAACCAGGACTCGAACCCCGAGCTTCAGAATGGCAGTACGCTGTACTAATCACTCGGCTATTGCGTTCAGTGTTTTATTATAAATATCGAATCAAAAGTAATTAAGTTAGCCTCTCTTCGAGTTAAGTATACAGACATCGTTTCCTTATTTTGAAGTATAGTTTAACACATAACCCAATTTAACTCAAATTTCCCTTAATCACCATGCACTTACCTCCTTCATGGGCATACGCAGCTTTAAAATTTCCGCATAGCACCGGAGCACATCTAACGGCGCATGTATCTATATGCAATGATAGTCAACAGTTTAATATTATTTTATTTATAAAATTTGGTAACACAAAATACCACTTTACACAATTTACCTTTACAAAATGTATTTGTTGTTGCTCTTTATAATCCACTTCCATCTGTAAGCCATGCTGTAATAGATTACTTTCGAATTTATGTCGTTTACGTGCACTCAGAGCCTCTTGACCTGGATCCGGATCTGCCTTATAGGCCAGCACAAAATCAATCGAACGCATACCATCGGCAAAGAATAGTGTTTCATTGTATTTAGTAGTTGGGCAGCAGTCTTCTTCATTTACAGAATTATTTTCTAAAAAAATATTATCAGTCATTGGCGCTAAAGGTGTTGTAAAATTTGAGCTATTATTATTTGGACTATTGTTACGCCTGTAATGGCGATTGGCTTTGGCTGAATTGTTGCGTTGATGATGTCGCCGAGCTGCTTCTGCATCGAGTGTCAAACTTGTTGTGTGTTGTAGTCTTCTGCAAATACAGAAAAACGTTGTGATAACAATTTTAATACGCTCGTTAGGATAGTCGCGACATTCTAATGTCTATCGCACTCCCACAAGGGTAGGGATAAATGTGTAATGTGCATATGTTTGTACTATAAAAACTATTATTTATTACCAAACTGCCTGGACGACATATACTAAAATGCCTTGCGTGTCCTCCAAGCATATTGTCCATATAAGAAATAGCATAAAATATCCTGTATAATAAAAACAAATATTTTCAGGATGATTATCGCTACTACATACATACATACATCACTATATACATATATATATAATATTTATGTATATATATATATATTATTTATTTATATGTAAATGTATGCACTCCATATGCCATAATACTTCTCTCGCATAACGCGTATAATATGACCTATTTTACTTTTTGTGCGTGGGTTTGTATATTGTAGCGGTAAATTTGTAAGCATTGTATGTGCTTCTAACCTTCAATGTCCTCGTACATTACATCTTAAAGCTTTCACAGTGCGTGAGATTGCAATTTATTGAGAGCAACAGGCGCTTGCATACAAACAGTAGATGTTCATCTGTTTAAATTAATTCGAGGACAGTAATTTCTATAGCTTGTAATCGCTTTATAATCATTATTCAGTAATTTAAAAAATTATCAATCATTAATAATAAGTAATTTTTCAGATTTCATATATTGCACGAAAAATTAGAATTAAAATTATTTTATGCTTTTTAGATCACTTATAATTTATTATTTTAATTTTTTTATATCATCGCTCAATATACATATAAAGGGTTTTCCAATAAGAGCTGTTATTTTGAATAGTCTGCTATTCCGGTAGATGTCTCTTTTGAAGCTGCAATTTTTTTGACATTTGACAAGTGAAAACTATGCAAGCAATAAAAATGGAACGATACCTCAACAAGGCATTGAAATGATTAAATTTCACGATAAAAATGGTGAAAACCGGGTAGAAGAGATTCTTTTGACTGACCACCACGATGGCTAAGGCAATAAGCAAAAGTGGCGCATCCGAAACTCGGAAAACGTAAGATTCAAGTCTTGATTGAAAAGTCTTGCCATCCTCAACGTGTGACTGTTTGGTGCGGTTTATGGTCCGCCGTTGTCACTAGACTTTAATTTTTCAAAAAACGAGGGCTGAAGTTATCGAGAGATGATTAATGATTTTTCATGGCCAAAATTGGATGGTATTGATCTGGAGAACGTTTACTCTCAACAAAACAACATTACGTGCCACACAAGCAACGAAACCATCGATCTTTTAAGGGATTAGTTTCCGGATCGTGCTATCTCTAGAGGAGGTGATCGCAATTGGCCACCGAGATCTTGTGATTTCGAGACCTTGTGTCTTTTTCCTTTGGTACCACGTGAAAGGTAAGGTCTACAACAATAGGCCAATGTCTGTATGGAATTTGTGAACCTATTGTAGGCATACAGCAGTCAATTTGCGATTTGCGATGGCCGTGGCGGCCATTTAGATGATATTTTTTCCATTATTACTGACATATCTCACCTTTTACACGGAAATAAACATCCGATCTCATCCGATTTATCCCCAAAAAAATGTCATTTCGCTTATTGGAAAACCCTGTATAAGTATTTTGATCAAAAATAACAATTTGCTTTTGAGTTTTATTTTTTCATCAAAAAAATCATAATAATTTCTGTGCAAAATTTTTCAATTCAAAAATTAAAATTAATTGATAAAAAAAACAACACTTTTCTAACAAAATAATGATTATTTTCAAACTCTGATTATTTATATTTGAAGTATATATAATATGATTGTATCTTAATACAGGTGAGATGTTTTCAAATGCTGCATATGCATACATATGTATATACTGACATTATTGAAAGACATGAGGCTATCAGAAAGAGCTTACAATTTTATGATTTTTGATTATCCATTAAAATCTCGTTGAGTATCGAGTTTTTGAGATATTTGTATCCTAAAACCTGAAGATTGTTTTAAACACATTTACATAAGAATAAATATAAATATGTATGTAAACACATATATGTATGTATATGCGAGGTGTGATCTGAAAATATCCGTTATTTTGAAATTTCGTGAGTTACGTATGTTCGATTTTCGCTTTTTTTCTGTTATGTTGTAATTGATCAAAGAAACTGTATTAATTTTTTCCTCTTCCCTAAACTGAAGCCACCGATGAAAGGAAAGCGTTTTGCTACGATTGTTGAGATAAAAGAAAAATCAAAACAGGCGCTATTGGCGATACCAAAAAACCCGTTTCAGAAAAGTGTATTACATCTGAGGGGGATTACTTTGAAGGCGACAAGATGGTTATTGATGAATAAACAAACACTTTTTAAAAAAATTTAAAATAACGGTTGTTTTCTGATCACACCTCGTAAGTATAATTTGTTTAGTAAAACTTGTCACACAATTTGATAAATTTCCCATTCACCATTCATGCACATATTTTAAATGGCAAATATAAAATTCTGCAAAAACATATAAATCAGCAAATAAATAAAAGGCATACATACATACATAAGTGAGTACATTAATATTACTTTTAAAATTTCTACAAACAAAATTTTAGGCACACGAAAACTAAAATAAACGAACATCTGAAAAGCGGACATATCTACATGCATATGTATATATAAATATATACATATGTATTTTAATAAACATATATTATTTTATGCAAAACACAGCGAGTAGAGCATTTAGCAGTAGCAAAAAAAAATGTATAAACAACAAATATGCTCAGAAACGCTTGCAGGGCTGTTAAAGATAATTGAATAACTCGAATCTGCTTGATTAATACGAAACAATTTCAAGACTCCCATAGACTTTCGACTTTACATTTTCAATAACTCTCATTTTGTTGTACTCAGCGTGTACTGATCTGCACTGATGATTCATACACTTAATGTGAATGGTGAATTTATTATGAAAACAAAGGCAGAAACATAAGTAGATATGTACATATGTATATACAAGCGAAGGATTTTTTATATTACAACTAATAAACAAAGCCCGTATATATACATACATACGGAATAACCAAATAAAGTACATATCAGATTGAGTAATATTTATTTAGTTACCTACATACATACATATGTACGCGTATATCACTTTTTATCTCATAAGAATACTAGAAATTACTTGCCGGTGTAAGAAAACGATTAACAAATCACATGGAGCATGCTACTGACAACAGAAATAAAATTTCCTACTTAATATTAAGCACGACGCTTGGCCACAGACTGATAATTTTTTTTCCATACCATGCTGCCCAACGATCGGTCTCTCACTCTGTGAAACGCATATATGTACATTTCTTAATTAGCATCTAAAAATATATGTATGTGTGAATGTAACAGTATTTTAGGCAAGTCAATACATTTATTTATATGTACTATAAGAGAATGTTTCTAAAGAAATGAGTGTGTATGTAAATATGAATAGAAGACTAATAAAAATATTGACTCCTTGGATCAGCTGTTGATTGCAGTAATTCACCGTATATTAGCTGACTCAGAGCAGTGATTATAAACTACGTCAAATGTCTTGAATCTACTAATTTAAAAAAAAAAACAAGAATTTAGATTATGCTTATATGTATGTTTGCAGACGTATAAACAAATGTAAGTTAATTATCTTTTGAGTTCTATTTATTGTATTTAATATTCGTTTATAGGTCAACAACAACATTATGTAACAAATGATTGGTGTTGTTGTTGTTATAACTACCCTATCCCTTCTTAGGAGCAGTCGAGACTAGTCTAACGGAAGTTGCAGGAAATGAGCTGTTTCAACCGAGCGTGGTAGGGGTTCAAGAATTTTACATGTATATATATATATATATATATTTCGAATTTTATTATTTAATATAATATCTTTGCAAGAAAACCAGAAAAAATACACTTATGTATGCATATAAAAGTTTAAATAATAGCGCGCGAATGCATACTTGTGTATGTATGCACAAAGTATACAATATTTTTGCATACTCTATGTTCGCCTACACTCACCTTTTATTTGGTTGTCTGTAAGAGTGTTTCTCACTACCACGCAGCAAAATATCAGCAAGCTCAACGCTTTCACCAATATCACAGCCCTCGCTGTTACCGCGAATGTTGTCGAAGACTCTTTCCCCGTTTGCTTTATAAACATCGTCATCACCTACTCCAAGCTTACTACCTGCATCTCCTGATGCACTAGCATATTTCTCATTTTGTATAAACATTGCACAAAGACTATCATAACTTGTAATTTTTTCTATGGAAGCTGCGACTGGTGAGCGACGTTTATCTTTTACATTATTTTTGCCACGAGCAGATTGCTGTCGCTGTCTTTCCCTGCTAGTATGTTTTCTTTTCCACTCTTTTGGCGTAAGCAATGGAGCCAGAGGCGCTGTATACGGTGGCTCAAACTCGACTGCCGGCAGATCGCCTTCACTAAAGAAAACTAGACTAGAATCGTCATCGGCTTCCGATTGTGTATATACTGAAGAGCGATCGTCGTCTGTATTGTGTAGTTGGCGCTTTTCTTCATCATTCTGTTTATCGGCAGTTACGTTATCATTGCTGGTTTGAGCCGATGGTGTTGTCGGCGGGGTTTCCAGCGATGCTGTAGTCTTAGACGCATACCATTCATAAGATTCATCGGATTTTAGTGGAGGCAAATGGGCGAAAGTATTCGAATTGTTGCCAAAAACATCCTCTTCGTCGGTTTCTATAATTAGAATAAAAAAAAAAATTCAATTTCGACCTAGCTAATAAACAACGTAAACGCACGCATTCTTGCATATGGATGCTCTTTATATCACATTTTAGTTTTTATTGCATAATGATGAACTTCGTCTAATACAAACTATCACATGTATTGGTTAACTAATCCAAGATTTTATAATTAAAAACTACATCCAAACGTGGCGCAAATGTTGCAATATTTTAGCTAATTCAACAGACGAACGAAGACACCTCCAACCGATACATGATTTCGCAAATCACTAAAAGAATAATATAAATAATATAAAAACAGCTGGCGAAAAGGGTTGCCAGATACAACACAATTGAAGTGAATACAACGTTCGTAAATGAATAACAAGCGGCATATAATGTAAATGAACAAAAGGCAGCAAAGAAGCTATATGATTCATGCGTTTCATGCGCCATAACTTATATCTTAAAAAAAGTAATTAATTATCACAATTGTGCCCTTTTGTTGTGAATTTTTTTTGTTTATATCTCACAAAGTAGTTTTAATCACAAATTGTTAGCAATTTCTGCTCACCGAACAGTACTATTCTCTGGTGGTAGACAAAGATGTCAAAAACCAATGTCAACATCAGCTGTGTTTGGATGTTTAATTACACTAAAAAAACTTATTTAACGCACTAAAATGATATAACAACAAGCTGTTTAAAAAAAAAATAACAAATCGAAAGTATAGAAGGAACCACATTGATTTCCGAATTTGTGCAATGTATAACAGGAAGTGTCAGATGATATTGCGCAGTTTGTTGTCGACACACCCGATTACAGGTGTCAGTAACGTCCAGTCTATTTGTACAACATCATCACTTAGGGACGCCAATTATTATGAAGCACTTGGCATAAACTCGAGCTCGACGCAAAATGAGATAAAGTCAGCATATTACAAGCTTTCAATGCAATTTCATCCTGACAAAAATAAAGGTTGTGAAATATCAGCAAAAAAGTTTCGTGAGATAACCCAGGCATATGAAGTACTTGGCAATTATCGTCTTCGAAGACTATATGACAAAGGCAAGTGATATAAATCGCCTGTAAACAAATATTATTATTTTCTTATGTTATAGGTGTTATACATACAGCTGGACCAACGTATCAGCAGCCTACAGAGTATGAACCTGAGGTGGAAGACGATCCAGAAACAAAATTTTACAAATCACGTTTTAAAAAATCAAAAGTTTCAGACGAACTAGGTCGTACCCCTATATACGACTTCGATGAATGGTCTCGCTCTCATTATGGTAAAAGTTTTCAAAGGCGACAAGATTCTAAAGCAAAATTTGAACGGAAGCAATCGCAGAACCGTCAGCATGTATTAACTTTACAAAACGAGCTGGTACTATTCGGATTTGTGTTTGTGGTTGTGGCAATGTATGCTATATTCTACACAGAATCCTCTCTAGATACGCCTAGAGAACGTGCTACGGCAGTAGCAAAAGAAAATAATAAAAATAATGATACTTCAATAGTGAATAATTCGGCGGGCACCGAAACTTAATTGTGATAAAAAGCAAGAAGGCTATAAGAAAAAACGTTTCAAATAATTGTATTTTTAAAAAAAACTTGTTGTAATTACCGGCTTTATGTTTTTCCTTTAATAGAACAATTTTACAAAGTGTATTTTCTTATTTTTTTATTAATAATGCAGAACCCATACAAAAATGTATTTAACAAATCCAACTAGAACTTTCCACTGCGTTTACGCCCTGTGTATTTTGTATCTGGCCTTGTATCGCGCCCTTGACGTCGCCTACGCTCCTTTTTAGCCAAAATCCATTCACGCGATTTCTTCATTGGTTTACCTCGTGCCTCTCGACACATATCACGCTTCTTAATATAACTTATGCGCCTTTCATCCTCTTCCGAACCTTAAATGTAAATTAATCTAATTAAAATCTACAAAACTACAGTAAAATACTACTTACCAAGTGCTTTTGGCATTGGTGCAGTGCCGCCGGTCATCAGCACTAGAAAATACTTTTTTGCTTTTGTGGAGTTGGGATAATCAACCACTAGGCCACCGTAAAAACCTGCTTTCATGGCTTGTGATGTGACCATCTCAATTTGGTCTGCATTTTCTGGGTAAAACTGGAATACAGCACGCGCTGTACGCGTTAGGCATGAAAACAATGTTGAAAAAAATTTGTACAGTCGTTTATGTGGGTTGTGAGAACTTTTGTCAGCATTGCACAGCCATTGCAAAGCAGATATTGATATGGCCCCATCAAAGGTTCCCGGTCTAAATGGCATTCCGTCACCCATATCTGCTAACACTACATCGCCGGCTACATCGCGTTCTATAGCTATATCCAGCATTGATTTTGATATATCCAAGCCAATCCAAATATGTTCATTATCTTCGAGCACACTGCCAGAGAGACCAGAACCACAACCAATATCTAATATAAGGCACTGATCATCATCATCAAGCGTAAGTAATTCATATGCCCTCTCCGCCATTTCAATTTGGATTTCAATTATTCGAGAGCTGTAACAAAAATATTTTACTTATTAAAGCAAGATTAAAACTTATATTTTACTAAAGCTAAAGCTATATAAATAATCTTACTTGGTGGAGTATTTTTTTGCTTCATCATCGTTGTAGAACTAAAAATTGAAATAAAATATTCAGCAAGTAAATTTTAGAAATGTTAAATATTATATATCTTACAATCTCAGGCGGTGCCGAATGTTCAGGCCTTCTTGCCATTTTTTATGAATATTATTGATAATTTAAACGTTATAAAAATATCTTTTTTTTTCGAAATACTCTTCGTAACCAGACAAAAAGCTAGGTATATTTTGTTTTCAGAATAATGCACGTGGAAATAGATTTATAGCTTAAATGCAGATATATATACGTTCTCTGTCAAATACTTTGCTATTCTTTTCTCTTTAACCGTTTTGTTTTGATTATAGAATCAGCTGTTGCAGGGCACGTTCAGTGCTATTAACAGTTTTGTTTTGGTCGCACTTTCGGATTAAAGCAAATTAAAGAGCTTGAATCAACATTGTCTGCTAGTTTTATGTTGAAACTATTCACTTTGGAAAATAAAAAATAAATAGTGATTGGGTTTTACAAGTGCAAATAAATCATAAATGGCTTTTGCTGTGAGAAACTTGCTAAGTCCCATACGCCAAAGGTATAAGATAAATAATATATATACTTTTTTATATGCATATATATTATTTACAATTGCAGACAAATGGCGTTTTCGCATTGCATAAAGCAACACTTTTCGGCAAACATAGCTGATGTAACCGCAATTAATGCACCTGAAACATCGAAACCAGAACCAAACGATGCAAAATTAGTTATAAGCGACTCGTGCATTAAGCGGTTGCAACAAATATCCGACGGCGGTCGTTCTTTTTTACGTATCACCGTGGAAGGTGGCGGATGCTCAGGATTTCAATATAAATTCGATTTGGACAACAAGTTAAATAGTGATGATATCACCTTTGGGGAAGGGAATGCAAAAGTTGTGATCGACAATCTTTCATTGGAGTACTGTGCTGGTGCGACAGTGGATTATCATACGGAATTAATAAGATCTGGCTTTAGGATGCTAGCTAATCCGTTGGCGGAACAAGGGTGCTCATGTGGTTCTTCTTTTTCAATCAAATTAGATTAAAACTAAAAAATATATATTAAAGAATGCTTAGTTTGAATTCATTATTATATTCTTCAACGTTGTATAAAGCATATTTATTGTATGTACACAAATTACGGTAGTAAAAATATGGCTGGTTACTAGTTCACCACTGATTCCAGATTCAAAAAAAAAAATTATAATAATAACTACATACATATGTAGGTATATTTGCATTTATTATTTATAAATGTTATAAAGTCACATTTAGAAAATATGAGTTAATCGGCATATATTTTTAATTTACAAAGTTCTGCAAGACACAAATGAATTAAGAATCATGTGTTCGTACTTTGCTTCGGTTTCCACTTTATTAAATCGCACGAACGCATATGTATCTTAAATTTATGATTACTAAATATTCAACAATTGTAGTTTGCTAAGCTAATTAAAACTGGATTTTTATAAATATTCGCATACTTCGCAACAATACTTAACTACAACATTCATCGCCGAAAAATTTACAATTATTGTTTATCATTTGAACGGTGTATATTTGCCTGCTGCACTTGAATTGCAGATGTATCCAAAGTGAAAATTAAAATTTATTTAGAGGCAGCAAGTTGCTCACTCAGGTTAATTACCTGTTCGGTTAGCACGCTTATCTGTTCTTCGTAATTAAAGCGCGTAGTAGCCTATATAGAATATAGAATATAGAATAGATAAAAGCATCTCTAAGAAATATGTTTATATGTTCTTACCAGATCTTCCTCTAGCATTTGCAACGCCTGATTAATGCTTTCAATTTGTTCATCCTTTGCTTTTAACTCATGCGTAGCATTTTCTAAACATATTTGGAAGTGTTCTACTTCTGTTTCGTATGATGTAATGCGAGAATCAGCCAAATACTTCGCTTTCAAAAGATCTTCAAATTTTTGGCTAAATTTATTAAAAATAATTTGCTCTTTCGTGGGCGGAGCTGTTGATTCTTTAAAGGAATCGCGAGCACTACAATTAAGATATTTTATAATTGGATAATCCAAAAGTTACGCTTGCTTACTTTAAAATAAAGCGATAATTTTAATTACCTTCTTACTTCCTTTGAACTGGGCTCCACCGTTAAGCCAGCCGCTGTACTACTACAACTACAGTTAGTAAAGTCTGCAACAACAGCTTCCACAACTGCGGAAGTGGATGTTCCTGTATTATTTTCTTTCAAAATGTTTCCTTCATCTCTCTGCTTTAGTGATTCGTTTATTTTCAGAATTTCGTATTGTGTACGCCAATGAACCATTTCTTTTTCTAAGCATGAAATACGATCTTCAGACGTTGCAGAGGTAGTATGCATTGGAGTTTGGTGATTATTGTGCAGGGCAGCCACATGTAATGGGGTGTGATCACTACCGGAAACACTTAAAGCATCCTCACTACCCAACTGAAAGCAGGGCATGACATATTTTAAAGTTTTCTAAGGATATCATACTTACCATACTAACCGCGTCCACTAGCTTGGTTTCGAGCTCCGAGTTTCTCTTTTGTAGCGTTTCGATATCTCTCCGTAAACGTTTTTCAACCTCGCTGAATTCTGTAACTCTGTTTTCCAACATTTGCTGCAATTCTTCGACGCGATCAGTATGCAGTTGCAATTCACGATCTTTGTCGTCAATCTTAATAAAATCAAATGTTACGTTGTGTGAATAGCCCCTATAACAATTTAAACTTACCAATGTAGTTAATTCCGCATTTTCCATAATTTTCTTTTGAAGTTCTTCAAATATTAGGGCGTCTTGTCCCAAGTCCCCTTCCTTTAACGTGGCATCTGCATCGTTCTTTTTGAACATACGTTTTCGGCCATTGTCATTGTCAATCTTCGTTCGTCCTTCTCGAGTAGCAATTTCATCTTGTAACACAGAAACTCTGTGTTCTAGTTGTCTATTACGAAATCCCAAAGAGTCTACTTCTTGTTCCGACCGACGGAGAGCGGTTTCACTTTGCCGAAGTTGCTCCCGCAAATTCTCTCCTTTTGACTGCTCATCCAAAACAGCTTTTCGAAGTACACCGGCCCGAGCACGCAACTTCATATAATAAGATACAAATATCAATAACAGTTTTCGATAATATAGTTTTCCTTAGGGGGCGTACCTTCGAATATTCACTAGCCAGCTTTTGATATTTCGTTTCTGGTGTTGTTGTCAGTTCCGATCTGCACTCCATATTACTGAGAACTATTAATCGCTATATCCGATGTACTTTGATTTATTTATTCTGCTTATGTACAAATATCATCAAATTTACTTTATTAACAAATCTTTACGCATTTACGCTAATTACATTTTTCTAATAGACGAAAATTATCCATTTTAATATCAACAACACTTCCTTTGTTGCAGTTTTCTCTTAACTTTTACAAACTTTTACGGCAATAATAATAGATGTTTTTTCTTTTCTCGCAGTGTTGATTATTTAGTACTGAGCATATTAAAACTCTCTACTAAACCACATTTTCTTGATTTTCTGAAAAGTTTCAAAGAACTTAGACTAACTAACTTATAGTACCATTGTATTTTATTTCTTTATTGCTTTTAAATAGCGATTATTTTGTTAACAATTCAATTGTATTCGCAGTGTTTTACCTAAAATTTCATTGTGAATGGGACATATTACTAATTTGTGATTTGACATTTACCTGCTAAAAGTGACATTTATTTTCTCAAGCCGCTTTTGCATGGTGGTAAACAAAAAATTTATCCACGAAATTCATTTAATTAAATTATTATTTAATGCCTAAAATATGTCGGCAGGATCAGTGGATTTAAGCTCATACCGCGATCAACATTTCAAGGTTAGTGTTATTATACACTTTATTCAAAATTATGCTTTAAAATTATTATTTTTTATATACGTGTTCAGGGCTCACGCTCCGAACAAGAGCGGTCACTCCGCGATTCTTGTACATTATATGTGGGAAATCTATCATTTTACACAACCGAGGAACAAATTCATGAATTATTTTCCCGGTGTGGCGAAGTGCGGCGCATTGTGATGGGTTTAGATAAATACAAGAAAACACCTTGTGGATTTTGTTTCGTCGAATACTATATTCGCCCGGACGCAGAAATGGCAATGAGGTATTAAATGGAATAGAATTTCAATAAATGGTTATTGAAATTTAATTTACTCTACAGATATGTAAATGGTACAAGATTGGATGATCGTCTTATACGTGTCGACTGGGATGCAGGCTTCATTGAAGGACGACAGTATGGCCGTGGAAAAACTGGCGGGCAAGTGCGTGATGAATATCGCACAGACTATGATGCAGGACGAGGAGGTTATGGCAAGCTACTTCAACAAAAAATTGCTCCTAACACAGACAACCGTTAATTATCCAATTTTTTATATACAGATGTATTTTTAAGTTTAGGATTTATACATAAATATATAATCTTGAAAAATATGAAATTATCATAGCTCTGTTTTCGCTCTACTCAAAGATGGACCCCTATTCTGTTTTTTGTTTTTACGTTTCTTCTTATTAACCTGAGTTCTGCTTTCCTTATAATACGGATTCAGGTAGTCGGGCATGCGTTGTTCTTCGTTGATTTCTTGAATTAAAAGACTCATTAATTTGACCGTAGATTCATCAATGATATGTGGAAGGGAATTAACGAACTCGTTGCACCACGTTAAAATTTCATTCCATTTCGTATCTTGTTTCCCAAATATACGATAACTTATCTCTGGAAAATGTAGCAGGCTTTCAGCAGCCATACAGCAGTTTTCTGTGATAAGCGTGACTGCGTCCTGTAGTTCAGCGTTTTCAGGAAATCCATCTCGTAAAGGATTATATTTACGAGATGTTAGGGTAATATTTTTGTCATTTATTATCTGGGAAACAAATAAAATTATTACTAATACGAACTATTTAAACTGTGTTATTAATTACTTCAAAAATTTTCCCATAAGCTAATCGCAATAGTTTGAAGTTCTTTTCGTAATTATTTGAGCTCAACATTTTCTTTATTATTATTTGATGCTCCGCTCGGCGTTCGGTTAACAATTTCGCATCTAAATTAGACAAAAAAAAGTATTTTAAGTAAATTTTTAACAAGTTCAAAAGTAGTTTGTAGCCGCTGAAGCCATTTTCGTTCGAGCATCTTCTCCAATTGGTGGTGTACGTCGAGGTTGATGCTTTTTTACTGTTTATTCTAAGCCGCCTCCGAACGGCCGATTGAGTTTTATTAGCCGACGGGCGAATACAATTAGAAAACTTTATTTTCAATAGTTTTGGATTTTGGTCGGACCAAAACTCGAATGATATAGACCCTGATAGCCACGCGGCTATTGCGACTGCCATAGTTCTGCAAAAATAATAATTTACACAATTACTTACAAACACCAGCCGTTAGTAATGATTTGTTCGCCTCATTTCTGAAGTCTGCCAACGATTCCTTATCTCCAGCAACCAGCAGGGAATGGAGCCATATAGCTGCCAACAAAATATTTGTTAATAGCATTTAGCTGAAATAAAACCACTGCAACCAGCTTTTCGGTGAGATGTGTTTTGAATTTATATTAGGTCCATTCACAATAACTTTAAATGACTAAACTTTTCAAAAGATGTTTCAAATGCGTATGTATGGATTTACATATGCCAATGCGTGTAAAATTCATAGGTCTTGAAATCGTATCCTCATGCATTTCCCATTAATAAGCGGTTTAAAACAAGATTTTAAACAAAATCTCTCGTAGAGGATATATAAGTCAGTGTCATTGAATATGATCAATAACTCTCTTATGCCCAAAAAATGCAATTTCTATGGAAAATCTGAAGAGTCCGAAGTCTTTAAAAGCCAAATTTTTTTATACATATTTTAATAAATTTCTCTGCATAAATTATTATGTATATTAAAATATATTTTCCCGGATACTAATACATCTTATAATGTATCTAGACAACCAAGTAATGAAAACACCAATTTACTTTATCATTAAGTTTTGAGTATATTTCTGACAGAATATATCATTAGAATTTTTTCTACTTGCTAGATTAACAATCAAACAATTGACAGTTGTAGCTCATTGCTATCAAATTAATGTTTTCCAATGTTATTTGCCAACGAGCAGCTTAAGCCTGTGCCATCAGGTTCAACGTTCAATTCCTTTACCTCTCCATTATCTACAACCATCGAAAACCGCTTTGATCGTAAGCCGCCCAATGGTGGTAAATCAATTGTTAAATCTAAAGACTTTACAAATGCACCAGCAGGATCAGCCAACATTCGAACTTTTCCGGATGTATTGTGTTCTTTACCCCAAGCCGACATAACAAATGGATCGTTTACGGAAACACAAACTATTTCATTGACTCCTTGATCACTTTTCAAAGAATCAGCATTTGACACAAATCCAGGCAAATGGGTCTGAAAATTTTTAATAAGTAATTTTTTCCCAATTAAAGCCAATGTTATATTTGCATTATGTACTTATGTATCTACCTTGGAGCAACCAGGAGTAAAAGCACCAGGGACAGCAAAAATTATTACTTTCTTATTCGATGTCAATTCACCAGTATTGATCTTATTTGCCGGTGAATCTTCAAAAAGATCTACTGCCGGGAGCTTATCGCCAACCTTAAAATATCAGAAAATATTAATATTAATTAATTTTTGTTAAAATTTTCACATCAGTACATCTGTGCATTTCTTTTATTAGCGTATTCTGTTCGGTGTTCATGACCTTGGTCACCACGACACCCTGCGCTCAAATTCTTATGAAATTATCCCAGCTTATATTACAAGCTCTTCAATTTTAATTACATAATGAGAAACACGCTGCCTCTCGTACAAGTTTCTTGTTATGTTATTTTTAACCATAATTTTTAACAAACAAACCTTAATTGGAGCCATTTTTCTTGTTGACTTCGAGAATGTGCGAACGAAATTCCTTGAAAAATGAGGAATGACAACGGTACAGATACGCGACTGCATTTTCAAGTTTTCTGGATATGTTTATCACTTTCGTTCAGTCTGCTTTGCTCTTATTCTTATTTTCGTAGCTAATAATTGTGCACAGCAGATGGGCGATTTAATCATCTGTATGTACTGTGGTGCAGTAACACTAAAAGTAACAATAAAACTTTGTTGTGTAAATATACCAATCGAAATATAGTAATATTATTTTAATTGATTATAGTTGTTTCTGTCATTTTTCAAATGTACATACATATATAAGCGGATCTATTATTCTGCCGGTCTGTGAAATTTTCAAACTTTACTCTGAAATCGTGGTATCTGTGCAACCGGTAACGAATTAATGCTCAATATTTCGGAATAACAACTTCTACTTTTTTACTAGAACGTCGGTACGAAATTCTTTACAATTATGTTAAAATTGACGATAATACAAAATATACAGTTCTGAAAGACAATGAAAGCATGGGTGAATTCCAAAACGTCAGTCTATTGTCACGCATTCCTAAATACAACTGTGCAAACTTTGACAATGTATCATGCTCCAATATACATCGGTAAAGTTATTGATGCGAAAACAAAAGCAAAATGCGCATAGCTAGGTTTATGATGCTTTATTTTATCATAAATTCTTAACAACAACTGTCGACGTCGGAGAGCGAGTTTTTTGCTCTAATAATTTTATTTTATCTGTTTTATATTTTAACCATTTCACCGAAAAGCAAGCGTTCCAACATGTCAGAGTTTGCAAAGTATTGTTGCAAGCAAATTTATAGAATGCAGGGTTATATCATTACAAAGTATTTTGACGTTTTGGAACTCGCCCTATATTTGTTTTCGTTCCACAAATCATATGCAATAGAAGATTCACTAATTTGCCTGTGTTATTGTCCTGTAATTTCAAACCAGGCATTCGTTCATATCACAATTCGTGCAGAAGAATGAAGGTTTCCATCGATTTCTTATAAATTCTCGAGGCTACAACAACTGAAACAGGCATATTTCAATGTTAGCTGCGAAAACGTTGGAAATAGGATGCCAACCAAACTGGCGTAAAATAGTTCACGCTAACATAAATAAATATATTTACTTCAGGATTTGTCTTTTCTTACAAAAGATATTTCTTTTATTTCATACAAAATATAAAACTTGTAATCGTTTATTAATAGGGAAAGATTTTCTGAAGTATTTTTACATTTCAAGAGCTTTCTAGACTCTCAGATAATCGGTCAATGTCATCCAAACTCATTTGTTTTAAATTCATTTCAAAATCAGACATGAAAGCAGTAACCAACTTGTCAGCTTGTTGATCACTGTAGTATTTTCGAAAAGAACGCTGAATGACCTGTTAGACAAAATATATTTATATTTCTAACTTCAACTTTTTGATAGTTATATAGTTTACCTCTCGCAATCCTTCTATCCGTGGACGCATCACAACCAAATTTAGCTTGCTGCCCTCATGTAAATTTGGATAGGCAGATACTGCTTTCTCATCACTTAATGTACGCCCAAGAAGCAAGAGTTTTTGTTCGGCTAAGGGTATACTCAATTTTTTCTCAATTTCTTCCTTCATTTCGGATATTAAAGTGGTCGGCTCCACCTGAAAACCATGAAACCAAATTAACTTTCTGTATAATGGTATGGAATACAATACTCACATCCAAGGTGAAGTCTTGCCCTTTCAAAACCTTTATTGTTATTTGCATGTTTTTATTTGTTTAATTTAAAGGATGTGTTATTGTTTTTAAGTACTACCTCTGGTATAACTAAGGAGTATTGTTTACCGAAAACTTCAAAACAGCTGACAGGGTTGCTAAAACCAATTTTTTTTATATAACTGATTTGGATTTACTATTGTGAACACTCAATATATGTTAGGGAGTTAGTTCTTTGTAATCCATAATTTTTGAAAATATCTCTGCAATATAGGTATTATACAATATTTTGAATTATATATAAAATGATTAGATTACAAAGTTGTATCTCGGAAGAACTGTATTTGATAATTTCGTAATTTAATCTTTTTTTCTTAGCTTGGAGCTGCCAGCCACAATTGTAATCATTCTTTTATTGTAGTCTTTATTTTTTCTTGCACTTGTCTTCTTTATGGTTACGTTCTCTGCTATTGTAATTGCTTCTTCAGCCAGTCGTCATTTGGCTCTCTCAATTTGATTGCAACGTAGCGTGTGTAATTTTTATATATTACAAGTAAATTTTTCTTAATTTTTTTTCATTATTCTAACCAAAAATTTGTAAAGCGTGATTAAAGGTGAATCCAATACACGAATCTTACGTAAAAATGAAATATTTGCATTGAGTTAATAAATATTTAGGGAGGGGAAACGCCGATTTCTTTTCACTTCCCGATTCTCTTTCGTGTCGCGTTTATTCGGTTGTATCTTGAAGTGGTATTTCTAAGATAGAAATTATAAAGTGCAAATATCAACCGTTTGTGCTAATTTTCATTCGTTAGTAGTTAAGAATGTAGAATAAAAGTGTCAAACACATAAAATAAAATAAAAGTAATTATATTTCTTCATTTGAAAAAAAAGAGAACCTAATCAGTGCAAATCGACTATTGAACGAGTTTGTACGGGCAGTAGTGACGACGACAACAACAACAACGGTGCTAAGACCAACAAAAACGCAACACATATTTGTGGCTGCCTTAAGCGGTCAGAAATGTCTCATAACACCTACTACTACGGAATTTCGTAAAAAAAAAAAAATATATATTTATATATATATATTTGTCTTATTTTACATTTGAATTTGAGAAATTTACATTTGATGTTCTCAAATTTAAATCGGGGCAAGGAAAGATTTAACAAATTCTTTCAATTGCTGGTGCGTATAAAACTTTTTGCCATAAATTGCTTGAAAACTTTTTTATTGAAATTCTGTGTCCACTTTCTTGCACTTGTCCACAGTTCATGTCATTCTATTTTGTTTTTCTTTTGCTTTTCTATCCTCTGTAATTTGTCGACTTGTAGCGCTCGTTTTCGTTCGCCTTTCGTGGACATGATCAACGAACGATTCGGCAGTTTTATAATTTTATTGTTGCAATTGGAGTGGTAGTTGTGTATATGTAAGCATATATATGTATGTGTGATGTTGCTGCTGATCTTCTCTTCCGTATATTATTTGTATCTTTTTATGTCGAACCATTTTTTCTCTTACTATATGAACTTGTACGAAGATGCGACTTGTTGAATACAAATAATTGAAAAACATGTGTATTTGCCAATGATGAAAGAAAATAATCAAAATAGTAATGAATTTTCAATTTAAAATATGGCAGTATTTTAAGAGTCTCGGTAGTTAGGTTTAACAAATTTTCATTCATTTTTAATCCTCTGTTCTAACCAAACTTCCATTCAAATTATGTTTACTTAGACATATATGTATACGACACATATATTTGAAATAACATCGTAAATGCACAAAAATATCACTTTTCACATTTATAATACTTGTTAAAATTTAATGTAAATAAGAGATTGCGTTATTGCGGCACCGATGTGCAAGCAAAGCCAGCTAGTGAATTAAATTAGTTTTTAATGTAGAATATTTGCATCTGTATTAATCTACCTTAGCCAAGGGAAAAAGGCTGTATTTTATAAAATTCTATTTAATTTCATGTGTGTTGTTTTTCCTATATTCCTATTATTCGTATGTAAGCTTCACCTTTAATGTGCTTATGATGTATGGTGTATCGACGACGAAATGCATGGTGCATGGCGTACATATGTATGTATGTCTGTTTTCTTTTTTCTTTTTTCTCTAACGAATTTTTTTGATATCGCGTTGAAATATGAATATCTACACTTAATAAATAGGATACTGATTTGTATATATGTATATGCCGTGTGAAAGTTATGATAGCTACTCAGAGAACCCTCGCTGTTAACTCCTAAATATCGATCAATAATATGGTGCCAACTGTTGCTCCGATCGTTGGTTCTTAAGCATTTAGTCGTTAAAGAAGGTTGATTTATACAGCACATAACCGTTCTATTGTTTCAAAAAAGATAAAAAAATAACTGTTTTATTTTGACTGCTAAACTAATACTACTAAAATTCACTACAAAAATATCATCGAGAAATCATCTTGTCTAATGAGGTCCACTTTCACCTCGTTGGCTAAGTCAATAAGCAAAACTGTCGCATCTGGGACTCGGAAAACCCAAGATTTATTCTTGAAAGACCTCTCCATCCTCAAGGTATAACTGTTTGCTATGATTTATGATCCAGTGTAGTCATTGTACCTTTTTTTTCGAAAATAAATTGTCGTATGGACTATATGGTGGATGACTCAGCAAATCGATGTTTGGAGTGCTCAAAATTTAAGTTGTTTCAATCGATGTGTGAGAGTTCGCATTAACGTAGTGAAGAGGGATATACCTTTGACGGTTTGTTTTCCTGATTTCTTGATAGACAACAGTCAAATAAATATTTGTGTATGACTTTTGCTCGGAAGTGCTTATTGCGCTAACAACTTTTGTTAGATTCGGTTCATCTTTAGTAGACCACTGCTTGCTTTTACGTTTTTCGAAGCGCCGCGACATGAGCACTTTGATTTTTACATTATAATCTTGAAATATCAGTTGCGCACAGCGTCAACAGTTTCTGGAACAACAATTGATTGCGGAAGTTTTTTACGAAATTCGTCTTAGAGCGATTCACGACCTCGATTGAATTCACCATCGATGAACTGGTTCTTAATGGAGCTCAATCGCCTAAAATTTAATAAAGTTCGTGTATGCACTGTTGCTGAGTTAATGTTGTTGTTTGATCAGTCTAAGTCGCCGAGGTCATCTAGTGGTAGGGCCAGGAAACGAGCTGTTTCGACGGGGTTGGACCAAAAGGAGAGGGGGGTTAGATGATTGGGTTTGAGGGGGCATGTGAAGAGGTGGTTAGTATCTTGCGGGGACTCTCCACATGCAGGGCATACGTTGGGTATGATGGGGTCTACTCTGGATAGGTAGGAGTTTAACCTGCTACTATATCCAGACCTGAGTTGTGTCAGGGTGTTGCTGAGTTAATCCACGTCGATAGTTGTAAAAAATAATCGATTTGATTCCATTTTTAGCCTCTTAGGACTTTATCATTCCACACATCACACATATAAATTTACATATGTACATACATAAGATAATACTTATTTGTTTTAGATTTTTTAAAGGCATGCACGCATTCCATTCCAAACGCAACACTCATTTATGCTAACTTCTGTATATAATATTTAACTGTTAACAAACATTTTAACCAAATGTTTTTAATATTATTTCCAATAAATGTCTTAATTTTTCTCTTTCTCTCTCATCTTCTTTGCAGAAATAACCACACATCTCCATCAAAATGACAAAAATTAAATAAAAATTCATATAAACTCAGCGAATGTGAATGCATAATTAAAAATAAATCAAGAAACCTGTAAAAATAATATGTTGAAACGGAATGCGAATGTAAATGTGTAATGTAATAGAAATAATTTTTAACCGCAACAAAAATATAAAAGTGCAACTGGTTCTCGTATAGCATAATTAAGCGATTTGTGCTAAGAAACACACACACACATTTACAACAGATTTTAGTACAGATGAAATGTTTGACTAAAGAATATGAATAAAATAGTTTTGACAAACAAATCGAAGGTTAAGAAGAAAACTAGCACTTTCTTTACATTCAAAATACAGATTGAATTAGGAACACTTTGTTCTCAGTTATTTAGTAGCACACTTAATAGTAATAATAAGAATTAATTGCCAACACATACCACCACAGCATATGAAAAAGCAAACTCTAAAGAAATTCGCATAAACATGATCATAATATTGAACAGAACCGGATAGAGTCAACTTAAAAAGGCAACAGAAAGACCGGGAATAGAGAGTTTCCAACATACTACGTAGTATGTACATATGTAAACGAATATATACAGAAACAGAAACCAATCAATATGAAACTCACGTTTAAAGCATGCATTACTTTTAAATTCCACTGCGATCGACTAGAAAACGGGGCGGGTATGTACATACAAACAAGCGTAGATATGGTGTTTTGATGAAAAAATTTAGAAGTTTTCTCGGGAGAAAAAGAAATGATATTTGTGAATTCAAGCAGATGAAAAAAAAAAAACGTAAGAGAAATTCGAGCACGCACCCAGGGCAGGAAAAACTTGTTACATGCTTAAGTTTATAAAAAAAAAATAAATTTTTAACAACTTTTTATTTATATTAAAAACAAGCCTCTTAGCCGTAAAACCTTTTTATTTTTTATATACTAAATTCTATAATCATTATTTTACTGTGCTAAAAGAAAAACACTCATAATATTTTATAATTAGTCAATATAAAGAGCGCCTTTTCAACCATGCGTGGTAAAGACTCAAAAATTTTCCCGCGAGGTGACTAAAATCCAAAAGTTCCGCGACAGTTGGGTCTATTTCGGATCTTGATCCAACCAAAGACTGTCACTCCAGCAACATTCTTCAAAAACTATTTTGAGAAATATTGTTGCGGCTACAAAAACAACAACTACAACAGCGGCTAAACAGATACTATATTTTATTGTCGTTAAGTTTAATCATCTTCAATAAATCTTTTAGCTATATTTATTCCCAGTCGAAAAACATATCCAACTTTATGTTTTAGAAACTCGCCACACTCTTACTCAGCTTTGACCTCTTTGATGATTTTACATCAGATGTATGTATATCCGATGAAAATTTGTACAATTCGAATACGTACTAGAGTGGTGGCCTTCGTCTGACGACGACGCATTCATATTCTAATTTTTATGACTGAATATACTTTTTTTATGACATATAGCTCGTACGACAACCTTTTGAAATGGCTTTTATTTCTCGAAAATTGAATCGAGCTTCATCGTTTCATTGATGTTGAAAGTTGGAAAATCGGTCGCAATAGCCTCATGATTAGCATTGCGTACTAACATTCAGATGGTCAGTGTTTGAGTAATGGTTCGATCAACAATCAAAAGTCATAGAAAATTTTTCGAATACCGTTCCCCTCTTGGCAGGGCATATTAAATCTATTAACTGTAGGT